CCTGATGACAGCACCTGCCTTTTCTGGGAGGATTAAATGAACAAAGTAAATGTTGACTGTTGTCATTGTCTCATCATTATGTATCACTTCTTTGTTCATATGAAGAAAAGCGCATAGTTGTTATATTGACTACTGCTTATTAAGCATTTATTATATGACAGGCATTATGTTAACTACTTTAGCAGTACTTAGCCCTCACAACCATCTTGCCACCTAATCATTATTACATTTTGTAGATGAGGAAACTGAAAGTTAGATCATATCGCTCACTCGGGGAAGGCAAAGCTGGAACTCCGAAGCAGGCTAGAGCTGGCTATGCTCTGCTGCCTCCTGGTACCGCCACCATCTTTCTGAGTATGATACGGAACCAAACGATGGCGATGCTTGGAGACCTCTCCGCTAAGCAGCTTCTCTCTAACCCCTCACCTCTGCCCGGCTGGGTTAAGTGCACTCTGAGCTGGCCTCCATCTTTGTGTTCATCACACAGAACTAGAATTCTTCGTTTGCTGCTTTTTCTTTCCCACTGGACTGTGCTACTTGGGTTAGGGACCACATTGTTGACTTCTTAATCGACAATAGGATCTTTAATGAATGAGTGACCACAGGTAAATACCCTAATGCCTGCAGCCTCAGTTTCTGTAAAACGGATATAATAATAGTACCTATTTTCGGATTGAATGAGTTAATACAGATTTTAAAAGCTTAATACAGCACCTGGCACATAGCAAGTTCCATAGGTATTAGTTTCTACTATTATTGTTATAATTGTTGGATAATAATATCTCGTACTGTGCACATCAAAAAGCTCTTAGTAAGTCTCATTGACTATGCAGCACCACCATGATTTGGGGCTTCCATCACCCCCCATCCAAAGCCAATGAATTAAGCTGAGGTGGAATATACCTGCTTTCCCAGTTTACACTTTCAGAAAGGAAAACCTGGACAGTGGAGCCCAGAGTGCTCTCATTTGAGCTTTGGGGTGGGGGGCGGGGTGATGCCTAGGTCAGAGGCTGCTTGCTGACAGTGCTCCTGAATGCTGCCACCATGCCCAGCAAATCGCATGTTTTCATGGCCCTGTGTCATCAGTTATAAACAATGAGGGTTGAGATCCATTCCCCCCAAATAAGCAAACTCTGCAGAGGGGCCAGGGGAGAGGGGATGAACCCCTCTTCTCTTGAGATGATGCTGTGGGACAAGGGGAACACGAGAGAGCTAACCTCTGTGAACTCCTTTTATTGCCTGCCAGCCTTAGTGCCTGGTGCTTGGCATTCATTGTCCATCTTATCCTCCTGGCAGTTCTGTAGGGAGGTGGCCTCCTCGTTTCCTGGGTGCAGCTGAGGTTCCCACATGTTAAGGCAACATTTCATTTAGCCATGGAACCAGGATTTGAACCGAAGGGTATTTAACTCCCAGCCCATGGGATTTCCTGTCCAGTATGTTGCCTTCCGACTTGGGTTCTGGGTCCAGCACTCTCCCTATGAACAGAATCTAAGCTTTTCAGATGAAGACCGTGTCCCTACTTCCTCTCTGTCCCCCATCACCTCTAGTTTAACACCCAGTAGAGAAACGCTCCTTGTGTTAGGTTAATGCTGGTCTAAACATTTCCCTCTGGTAACTGAGTGGCTTTGCACTGGGACAGCTGAATTCCTCGAATGAGTAATCTCTTTTTAAAATGCCCATACGTTTTTCAGTGGTTACAAGACTTGACAGGACCTAACTTTGAATTGACTGAAGCACTCCGGGCAGCACTTAGTCAGCTCCCTGAAGTGGCGCTTCATGTTAAACCCATCACAGGCAGCCCCCCAGGGCTGTGGCAGGCAGGGCAGCCGCTTTTGCCCAGTGCCCTTTGAGTGCCCTGCTCTAGCAGCAAACAAGCTGTCTGTCCATCCAATGCATCCATCTGCCTGTTCGCCCATGGGCTAGTCAGCCCCAGCCCTGGTCACAACTCAGAGACTAGAATGCAGTGCCTCCAGGAAAGGAGGCAGGACCAGCTCCCTGTCCGCCTGCGCCAGCATTCCCCCTTAGGTCACGGTCTTCTCAGTCTCAGACCCAATGCCCAACATTACATAAAAGCAGCTTTAAAAGATGTATTTCAATAGACTTTTTAGGAAGCCCATAAAAAAATCCTGGATATAAAGAAATGAGGCATAAAACCCAGAGTGTTTGGAAGTGAAGCTGAAAATTGTGGTAGCCAGGTCTCCATATCCACGCATTCAGTGGGAGCGTTGCTTCCCAGCTGCACCTAGAGGGGCTCTGAGAACCACTTAACATTCTGCACTCTTGTGTTTTAGAAATATTTTACCCTCTTAAGTGCCGTCGACTTGGAGCAACACCCAGAGTTGGCATTCGTCCGGAGGGAGAGGAGTGAGTGGAGTGCGAGAGCGACCTCAGGAAACTTTGATTAGGTCTGGTTGAGCGTGCCGCGCGTGGGTCGTAACCTCGTTCTCCTTTTAATGTGCATGTTTTTACCGAAATGGAGCCCCGGAGTAAGATAGCGCGCACCCGTGAAGGCGCATTCCGAGTGCCGTGCCGCCCCGTGCCTTCACTGTTGTTTTCATTTTCCTCTCATGAACCTTGCTACCCTGGCTTCAGCACGGAGGCTGTAAAGGAAGATGGAGAGCCGAGTTACCTCAGAATGATCACTATCGTTAACATTCACGGGTGGTTCACTTATCATTCCTGACTGCACAGACATGGCAGCCGCTCGGAAGCGTCCGCAGGTGTAGCATGGTGATACATATTACATTGTGCCACAATGGATTTATGTATTCTGTAACAAAAGAAAAGTGTAATGAAAAAATACAGACGGTAATCCTTTATTCCTCCACCGCACAATTTATCAGTAATGCCTGTGGATGATAAGTGCCAGGGATTTCCTCTGCTTGCTTTAACCTTGTCACCCAGGTACGTTTTGGTAAAATGACAGAAAAATACAGACTAGGGATTTTCCTCCGTTCAGAAATCTTTTTAAAAAGGACACTTTTAATTTATGGAAGTTAGTCCAAACACAAGGCCTCCTTTTGAGCTTTTAGTCTGCCTGTGCTGAAAAAGATAAACATACTGGTTTGAAATAATGCTGTCCGCCAGCCGCCGATTAGGAGAGAATGGGAGCAATTTATAAGCAGACTCAAATCTCAAGCAGTTCAGGTGGGACCCAGGTAGAGGGAAGTTCGTGAGATGTAGCCCAGCGCTAGTGTGTGAGTACCCGAGAACTTGTGTTCCCTTTTAGGCCCGCCTCATCCATCGCCCAACATATTGTCACAGATGGAGCGCACACTGACTTCTGAGGAGAAAGCCGGGGAAGGCAGGTCTGAACGCGGATGATTGGCACTTGTTCCAAACACACGCTGGCCTGGTGCCAGAGCAAATACCCCCAAGTTTATAAATGCACAAGGCACTTTACATTTCAGTCCTCTTGCCAAAGTATCACTTACTGCATCGCTCCCTAAATATAGGTTTTAAAAAAGAGCTATTTCTTATTTTGCTTTGATCAGTAAAATAAACTTTTAAAGATTGTTCTGGGATGGGGTCCAGCTTGTGAGGTAAAGAATGGCCAGGGCTCAGGCATGATTCAGTAACAGAGTGTTCAGGAAAATTAGCTTGACAGTTCTCAGGCCTGCTGTTCGATAGCAAGAACTTGACCAAGTTAAAATGGATGATCGTGCTGGCTAGACCAGCGTCGGCTTTTGCTTTTTAACAAATGGAATGTCAAGGATTAAACAGCGAGCCGTGTGGCGAGGAGGGGTGTGGAGATGTCTTTGTATTAGGGAAGCAAATTGGGCCCTTGGTTTGGAGATCGGCCCCCAGCCCCCGTGGAAAGCCAGCCGCCTGGCTGGGCCCAGGCGAGGCTTCGGGCCCCTTCCCAGCCTGTCCTGCCGCTGGGGAGCGTGTCCATGGCTTAGCTTGGGGCTTGGCTTTTCTTTCAGGATTCTTGTCAATACGACGTTCTGCCATGTTTTTTTGGCCACGTTCCCCTTTGAGATTCTTGTGGGGAAATGGGAATGCAACCAAACTCCTTGTGGCAATTCCCATGTTCCATAGTTGGAAACGTGGGTCCCATTTGTTACATGAGCTGCTTGGAATTGGCCCGTTTTGTTCCAGTGCCCAAGCACAGTGAGTAGTGTTTGTGACACTTGGTATTGCAATTAACGGTCTTAGTGAAGTTATAATAAGCCCAGGGATGGGCTCCTGCTTTTAGGGAACTTGTTCCTTACCAGTTTTTTTCTGTCTAGATGAACCTCCCCATAAATATGATGGGCTAGAAGCTTACAAAGCAGTGTTAGTATTTTGTCTTGTAATTATTTATGCATCAGCTAATATTTTGTTTGACTTTTTAGGACTAAGTAGATTAAAACATTCTTACTGAAGTGTACATAGACCTTGTATTTATTTATTTATTTATTTATTTATTTATAAATATATAAACTACATATATGTGTATATATATATATATATATATATATATATATATATATATATATATATGCGGGGGGGGGGTGTTTGTTTTGTTTTGTTTTACCGGCCAGTTAGGAAGAGCTTTTATCTTTTCCTGATTCTAAATTGCTTTGGGCTATCATGTCCCCCCCACATATATACACACAACATGACATTATTCCTCCATGAGCGTTAATATGATGGTAGTGTCTGCCTGCAGTGACACCTACTGACACAAGCCAAGTTGATCGCTCATCAGTCCTTGCTGCAGGGTTTGGCTTGGGAACCAGCACTAGTGACCCACACAGACCAATTAGATTCAATCTGAGATAAATGAGAAAAACCTCCCATAACTCTGACTTCTCTTTCACTTGAAACTGTTCATACGAGAATGCTTGCCTTCCTTTGTCGCTGTCTCTTATTAGAAGGAGGTTTATTTAACCTATTTTCAAATAATTAGCACTTTGATGTACACTTATTAAAACTTTTTGAAACACTGTGAAGACTGCAATAACACCCCTCTGGTTAAATGTTGGTGATGATTTAATATTTGTCTTTTCCTACAGAAATGCTGCTCATGGATTCTCCCTTATTCAGGTGGACAACACAAAGGTCACCATGAAAGAAATCTTGTTAAAGGCAGTGAAGCGAAGAAAAGGATCCCAGAAAATTTCAGGTAGGATAGTTAAATGATACGCCGGCGACAGAAGCTTAACCCTTAGTTCAAAGTGCTTGATGTTTGCGAGTGAGCGAGAAAGAGAGAGAGAGAGAGAGATGGCTGCCTTCAAGATGTTTCAAATACCATTACCAGAAGGCTCAGTTAGCAGGTCTATAGCAAAAAAAAAAGTGATTTTTAAGTTGCCCCAGGGCCCAAGGAAAGGACTGGGTGTGTGGCATATGTGAGAAGAATGTGCTCATATCGATTATGGAAGCTCCATTGTTAGTAATTTATGATAGATTAAGACTAAGCTACTT